TTTTCCTCCTTGTGATTGTAATTCCTCTAGACACCAATATCGTCCCACCCATTTTGATCGGCGTAGAGCTTGGAGAAACAGTTTTGGCTATCAGAGTGAGGGGTGACATAGCCCCAAAAGGATCGATACCGAACTTATTTGTTGTAAGTATTCTTCTTTTTGTCTTCTCAGGAGTTGTCTCTTCAGCTGCATTTGTATGCGTGGACAAGTGTCATTTCTGACATCCCAACCAAATACCTAGCACTTCATTCCAGTCTCACCGGCTCGATCCTCCAGCTGTCGGATTTGCCTGTAAGAAGTGTGGACATTAGAGTTCCGACTCTCTTCAAAGTTCATAGATGCGTCAGAGCAGCATTTCTTTTTTTGCTCTATGATAAGTTCGACGGCCTCCGTGAAGATCCAGTTCCACTTAATAAGATTTGTCGGACCATAGATGGTCATTCTCATTTTTTAGGCCAGGTCACTTGCCATTGTCCTCGAGATGATAGTGATTGTCGCCTTCCGAAACAGAAAGGCGGGCTAGATATGACCCCAAACTGGGATTCGACCCAATAGCGATTAATATTTGTATATTCTGTCGACCTGGGTTAAGCTTGGATTTTTTAGCCAGATGAAGCGGTAACATCTCGGTCGGGTTCCTGGAAGTTTGAACCTGCAAAAATGCCTTTTCGATATCAGCTACTATGGCAGCTTTTCTGCCCAACGGAACCGCATAAGTAGGCCACACAAGTCTGAGCAGTATAACCGAACCTCGATATAAACAATCATTCAGGCTTTTGTCAGATTTCTAGCACGCGTGCTGATGCATGTACACTATTCTGACTTTGGTCGTTGTCTTTGTCAGGCCGTCACAACGGCATCCATGATGGGCGAATATAGTGTCTTTCGGCGCACCTTCTTTGCCGCCCGTCAAGTCACTCCGCTCTATGATTCCCTTTTTGTTCTTTTGCGTCTCGGGATAATATATTTTCTTTCTTCATCAGATTTGGAATCTCTTTGGAAACGGTCGTACCAAGGAACGAAATCTTCCAAGACGAGCGGATACGTTTTCGGGAAGGTCAGGGTCATCATCTTTCCAGGGCCAGTCACACTATACGTTCCTGTCTTCCTTTTTCACCGGTCTGCGTAAGAAATGTTGATGGCCGGGCATTCATTCATCTGATGTCGTGATAGGATTCTGTTATCCCTATCGTTTCTAGAATCCAGAAATCCTCCAATGTTATTCAGGTTTGTATGGCCTACCCTAAACTGAGAGTTCACCTTTCTTTTCTGATTGTTCTATATCAGTCGACTGTAGAATCAGGAATTTTAGGCTCAGCTGCCGTTGACTTTGCGTAAAATGACTATGGCCGCGTATTTCGTCCGGAGAGCTATCCACCCAAAATTTAGATTCAAGTTTGACAAGTAGGAAAAGCCGTCACGAACCTTCATCTTCTTTGTCGCTAGTATGTCACTATAGTGTCATTTCCATTAGTGAACGTCATATGAAGAAGTACTTTTCAAGAGTCCGAACGCACATCAGCCTTAGTTGCTAAGTTTTTCAGTTTTTTTTGTTTAGTTCGTTTCACGATCAATGTGCTGATTGTGGACAGGTCCCGTAATTTGCTGGTACTATATTTCACTCTATTGTTAGAGATTTGTTGTCGATAAGTTTTAGACTTAAACTGAATGTTGGGTGTCTCCGAGTTTTTGTTTTTCCTGTTCCAAAGGTAGCGGAGAGTAAGATGCCCACGTTTCCTTTTTTAGTTTCAATCCATCAGCCTACTTTCTTAGTTACGTAACTACGCGTGGCTTCCCGAATCCATAGTACCAACTTGCATGGACTGTGTTCCACTAGGCATTCTGCTACAGGCAACACAGGCCGTTGCATGGTCACCATCTCTCTAGCAGCCAATGCATGCAAATAGGCCAGGACTAGCCAGCCTCAAGCAGTGTCAGCCCTCCACCGAACCTCGTGGGACACAAAACTGTTGTGTTGTGATCGGAGTTTTACAGGTAGTAACAGGTTTTATTCACTTACAGTCTCTCATGTTGATGTTTTTTACTCAGACAAACTGAAACAGTGTCCTTTTTGATCTTTTTTTCTGTGTCATCCACAGTCGTGTACTTGCTCACATTCGCTGTTGTTAGTGGTCAATCATTACAGAAGATTACAGGGCCATCGTTGGTTTTAGTTTCACTATGATAGATGGGCTTCTGTTGTTGATGGCTGGTCTCGGAGCCTGCTGAGGTGATAGTCTCGGAGCATGCTGAGGCCTTTCTAAACTTATTAATGTTATCGTCCACTCGTTCGCGTAATTTCTCTGGCAAGCTATGTAGGTCACCTATGTACTTTTCTCAAGAGGGAAGGTGGTTCCACGACAGCGTCTCTTGTCCTTTTCTTTTCCTCAATGTGGCTCAGCTAACTGATGCAGGAACCTTTGACTTTTTATCGCTATTTATTGTCCCATGTTCGATTGTCTCCCTACGTGATTCAGACTTTTTGAGATGTTATCCATGGTGTCCAACTATAGCGTAAGTTTCTCCTGTCTCATTGAAATGACAGGAAAGTTTCATCATTTTTTTCGTTAGTGGCGATTGTATTATTTTCCCTTTGTTTACCAAAACCGATCAGGTAAATGTCCACAGCGTTGTTTTTTAATTAGCATTAGAAAGTTCCATACCCGATTATAGCGCCGGTATGGCATCACCTTTCAGGGACACTTCTCAGGTAGTTCAAATTTTCTCGTGGAGCTAAGTCTTCTTCTTTGTGTACTGCTGCTTCATAGTGAATCCCAGAAAGAGAACCAGGTTCATCACATGTTCCATCAAATGTGGTTATGGTAATAGCGTGGAAGTGAACAGCACTTTTGCGCTTATGAGGAGTCGGCTGTTCAGGATCAGCAGAAGTTTGGGTGGTGCTGGAGGCGACAGCAGACCCTTTCTTTATCTCAGATTCAAGTTGACAGATTAGGTCGCCTGTCTATAGTCAGATCAGTAGCTTCATCGAGGGTAGTTTCACATTTTGGCTTTCATCTGGGTCAGGTTTCGATAGCTATGGTAAGTTTTTCCATGGCCTTTTCCAAGGTGTTTTAGCGACGTGTTCAGCAAGTACGTTGCAGTTCAAGTTTGAGTTTTGACACAACATCGCCATCGGTCGTGGTTTTTAATAGTTCTTCACTGTCGTTAATTTTTACCGTTACGTTGTTTTCGCCTTCGTCAGCGACGTCTTGAGGATCTTCATAGACATCCTGACTTGCTTTTAGGCCTGTTTGGTCAGGCTCCCGGGTTTCGGCACCAATTTATGTGGCAATTTATCGCAAACAATAGAATAAAACTTTGTTTTTAGCTATACGCCATTTTTGTTTATTATATCGCCATCTATCGGCAACAGACAAAAGTTAAACACAATTTCTCTCGCATTGCGACACCTCGTGAGTTTTGTTCACTTATGTTTATATGCACGTTTTCAAATCTATTGTTTTTGGTTTTGCATCGTCACGTGTTAACTAATTTGAGTAATAATGCTGAACAAAAAGTTGGCAATCACTGAACATGTATGGTCAGCAAACAGTGAAGTGCCCTAGCTCTAGTACTATTTACTATTAGCCCCCGTACAGTTGCCGCAGGCACTGGCAGTACCCGGGCTATAGTACTAGAGCTATGTTTCCCCTGGCCAAAAAGGTCTGTGAGGTGTTAAATGTTTTTTGTGATACATACATGTGTTTGCACGTTTTGAGGTCCTAGCAAAGCGAGCAGTGCTGGCCCAGGGCATGCTCTCCTGGATTTTTTGTTTGAAAAAAAATGTGGTGCATTCTAAGCTATTCTGAACACATTGTATGAGATTCTTGAATCTGTTTTTCAAGTTGTGAAGGTTTCGTCAGCGTGGATTTCTGTGTAGAGGCTGAGAATTGGAGCGAGGCAGGCCGCGCCTCACTCGTAGTCAATGCAGGGGAAACACTGTTATGTATTGTATCAGCACCGATGTTAATCCCTGTGAATTACTTTTCTAATAGATGGTGCCACCTTTGGGATACATCAACCAAAGCTACTGGATTCGTCTCTGGGGGAGTCCAAGCCGACCGACCGTAGACAACTGTAATATCGACACAGGCACGGTGTCCGGTTTCTTCTCACAGTCACAGCAAAGACAGCAAAGTTTTCATCTGGACAGCATTTCGCCTCGGCCTCGTCGTGCCGGTGGACAGACGCGATGATGTGCAGTGAGGCAGACGATGGTGCAGAGAGCTGCCCGGTCACTGCGGTTCGTGCTGCATGGTCGCCGTTGTGTCGTGGCGATTCTGGGAGCTGCGGATCATTGGCGTTGTCTTCGCAGCTTCATCCTGGTCAAGCGATGCTGCCAGCCGACCACCGCCGACAGATATCTTCATGCCGGTGTCACGCCGATACACGGTGAGTCTTCAAGTCGATGCCCGCATCGATTTCAATATTACTATACAGGTGTAGAAATTAACTTTTTAAACACTGGGAGTCCAACGCGGACTCGCTACTCAAAAGAGGGAGTCCGCAGCAAAATGAGGGAGTCTGCAGTCTGAGGTTCAAATTAAAGATACTACCTAATGCATACATGTGCTATTTTTAAGATTCATGCGGTTTCACGTCTGCCAATTTTCTTTGGACATTAGCTGAAAATACGGTAATTCTGCGAGGCCGTGCTCTTGAACGAACTATAGTTAGTATGGCAGAATTTTCAGGGGAGTCACACGGACTCCTGCATTATGTCAAATCAGGGAGTCGGACAGTAAATCTGGGAGTATTTGACTCCATACTCACGTTAATTTCGCACCCTGCTATATATTTCTATCAAGCTTGATTCTATATATATAACAATGTGACCCTGTTATAAGGCGATCGTTGGGGTCCATAAAATGTCATGGCGAAAAAGCGGGGGTCGCACTAAATCGGAGGAGGGTGGGGTTCAGAAAAATCAGCGTATAAACTGACCCATGTTGACCTTTTACAATGTTGAGCAAACTCGGGGAATGAACAATGCATACAGTCATGTACACAACATGGCACACAGCAACAAGTCATGTAAACTCAATCATTTAGTTGCGCGATCTATAGGCGATCGTGATTAGACCTAAGTCCGGGCTTAACTCGCCAAAAAACGTTTCAGTTCCGGAAAGAGGCAAAAAAAGGTCTAGTGACTCATATCCGAATTCGCATTAAATCGGGGCACGTAAAATCGGGGTTTCACTGTACTTATGAATACATTACTATATATATATATTTCTATATATATATATACCTATGAATATATTACATATATATACTATTAAGAGTGTATTAAGAATGCAGAGAAAGTATTCTTAAAATACGCTCTTGATACTATATATATATATATACCTGCGAAATGCGAATATATTACTATATTGCTATGTTGCTTTGTCTGGTATGCAATAATAATTAATTTCATAATAAAAATAGTGTTTGTTTGCCCTCACCCTGACCGACCCGCCAAAAAGGGGCTGCCTCAAAAACTTTTATAGATCTTTTTCTTCTTTCTTTTTTTAACAAATTGTATCACTGTACATTATATAAATCTGTAAGGCAATACATTATATTTACCAAGCCAAAACAAATATTCAACATAAAAGGTATCTCCACACAAGCACACCCGAGCATGTAGACACTATGCTGAATTTGTAAAAAGACCCCTGCCCTAAAAAAAAGCCGACCTACCTACCCAAGTTTTCAGCCTGGGTCGGGTGAGGGAAAACAAAGATTTTTTCAATTGTGGCCTAACTTGCCTAGCTGCATCCTGGCTGACACTGACAGTACTGGCTATGTCCTCACTGTATAGAAGTCACTTGGAAAGCGTGTTAGATAACAGCGTGCAAACTCGTTTAGCCCATGTTGGTAGAGGTATTAGTGTTATTTGTTAAAGGAGGGATCAATCTAGTGAAGGACGTCGCTGCGATGTTAGCGGATTTCACGGCTTAAATGGGAGCTCAAACATTTCTTATATTTTGAGCCCTCCTCATTAATATTACCAGTTTAGTATGTAATGTAAGTTATTCCGCTATATATACAATATACTATACGATAACTCAAAATCTTAGTAATGTATCATATGCTACACCAACCAGTGTACCAATGTACCAATGTGCGCTGCTTCTTTTAGAATGCAAACATTTTGCAAACAATATATATGTATATGTATATATATTTATATGATATAATATATATATATATGTATATGTATATATATTTATATATATATATATATATATAGTGATACTGTGATGTTCTGATCAAGTTTCAGAATGTTCTAGCACTATATAGATTTACCAAGAATGGCTTATGTCTATTACTAGGAAAAGTACACCATAACGAGTGCATATCAGTCATTAAGGTGTGTTCTAGAAGTAGATTGTATAATGTTATTTGTATCTTCCCAGCATGATCAGTATTTTTGCACAATGAAGAAGATGGATACAGAGCAAGACGTTTACATCACTAAGTTGGCAGCACATGCAAAAATGCAAGATGCACACCATATGATAGTGTTTGGTTGTATGTCACCAGGGAGCAACAAGAAAGTTTGGTGAGTTGACTTGCATCAGAATTCATGTATAATCACAAAGATTATGGTTAGTGACGCTCATAGGGTCTATGTCCCCCAGCGTACTGCCGGAACGTACACTGGTAACTATCTGATATGGTTAGGGTTAGGGTTAGGGGTAGGCGTATGGCGACTCCCTAGACTCGTTTAGTGGATTAGGCGAGGTACGGTCCGGCATATATTAGATAGTACCAGCAGAGCCATATAAATCACGTTGATTTGTATGCTCTGCGTACCAGGGTACGTTCCGGTATCGCCGGACCGTACCCAGGGTACGTTCGGCCAGTACCCTGCGGGACACAGACCTCTCAGTGTTAGTGACAGCAAAATTCAAACGTTATACCGAAACCAACTTGCTGCAACGAACAAACCTATGTGATACTCTCTGAGGAGATTTCATATTTAATGTTTTTTGCTTCGTCAGTGGAGGGTTGTCTAGTCTAATATGGTGAATATTTATTTAGCATTATTAATTTATTTTTATCTATTTATTAGCATATTAATTTAATTTTTATTTTCTATTTATTAGCATTATATTTTAATATTGAAATGCTCCAAGTGCTGTGGTCCTTATATGGTACGTGTGTGATTGATGGTGTAATATTTTCAAGGACTGTGAGTACCTTGAAGTGTGTGCAAAAATCCGGGTTAAAAATACTCTATGCATGGGCGAAGAATGCACACCTACTGTTTTGCCTTCAGGTACGTATGTGCCCATCCTTGTACGACCAACAAGCTGGCGTTACTAATCGCTCTATGTCTCTATGCCTACGTTGAAACGCCCTATTACATAGTGTAGAGCATCAGTGTGCCTAGCATGTATTGGCACACCTTTTGTTATTATCACGAACACACACTTTTGAAGCAACGTGCGCTGTTTATTGTCTTAATAAATTCCATATATTTGTATCTTGTTATTCTAAGCACCAGCTCCCTTGCATTGGAGTGAAATGTAATGGCGGTTCGGCCCTGTCATGTTGCCTCGGTAACAAGAACCATGCTAATGACGCTCACTTGGTGCTGGACGTGCATGTGCATGCGGCGAATGCGCTAGGATGCAGTAGTAATTAAGTCTGTAGCGCCAGAGATTGATCTCCATCTCCCCGTGTATTCATTTCCTGTATGTTGTGTGTGCGCTGTGCGTGTGCCTTGCGTGTGCGTTGCGTGTGCGTCGTGCGTAGTGCCGTGTGCGCCGTGTGCGCGGCTGCGCGTGCGTGCGTGTGTGCGTGTGTGGTGTATATATATACAGCTTTGTACCGCGAGTGAAAGTGATGGCCATTTTATTATACATGATAGTATAAATCTTTATGAGGCTATTGTCCCAAATCCTATTTAATAAAATAACAGATCATGCCTGGAATATGAGTGCAATCTCAGGCTTCAGGTTTCTCTGCTTTACACTGCATAGTTATCTATCTAGAATGAAATCTGTAGGCTTGTATAACGGTAGCTGTTTAGGAAATAACAGTGGGACATCCCGTTCTAACTCAATAATTCGATCCAAAAATTTTATAGCATAAAATGTGGAGTCACCATATATTATAGCAACCCGATTATGACGATAATTTCATCAAATGTTGTCTGGCTTTATTGTTGAGCTGTGCCTTCCTTCCTCACTGCGGAAAATGCAATACGCCATGATTTAACATCAAAAGATGAAAAAAGATTATACTCATGATACTGTGCGAGTTAAGTTTAATCATTAGTGACTTCTAAATACATTGCAATTGGTAAATAAATGTTACATATAAAGCAGAAACGAAAGTAAGAAAGCAAAAAAGCAACAAACTGTGTATTTTAAAAAAAAGAGTAAAGACACAAGAATGCAGGAGAAAAAGCAGCGAAGTGATGCTTGCATCATGTCAGAATTCACGTTGTTGTAGGGTGTGTTATAATTGGGTTATACTGTAGCGATTTATTACCTCCGCCGTCGAGAACGGAGTCATGCAATCGCTCGCTCGTGTGTGTGTTCGTGTGTGTTGTGTGTAGCCAGCAGCGAGCCAGCTGTTATACAACACGCTCAACCGATCGATCGATTCAGCACCAGCTTGCCTTAGGGCGTCCAGTCAGCATCAGCTCACCTATAGGGCGTCTAGTCAGCAGCAGCCAGCAGCGAGCCAGCTTGTTATACACATGTATTACATGTTACACGCTCGCGGAGGTATTCACTTTCTTTGAGTGCCCTCTGTCTAGTTGTTTGTGTGACACTACAAACAAGTATGAAATGTGCATGTTCTTGTCTCTGTTGTTTGCATGCAGATGTGGGATTCAAGATCGGCAGCACGAGTGAGGTGAACTACTTGGTTCTTCAAGTTCACTATGCCACCGTTCGTTAGCAGCCAGAAGGACTACTCAGGGATCACACTCACAACTTTACAAGCCGTGAGTCATATTATGTCATCATTATGGTCATCAGTACTCGCTGAGAGGGTCCTAGATGTCCCCCAGGGTACTGCCGGAACGTACCCTGGTACTATCTAATATGCCGGACCGTACCTCGCCTACTCCACTAAGACGAGTCTAGAGTCGCCTACGCCTACTCCCTAACCCGTATATGCCGGACCGTACCTCGCCTACTCCACTAACGAGTCTAGGGAGTCGCCTACGCCTACTCCCTAACCCTAACCCTAACCCTAACAATATCAGATGGTTACCAGGGTACGTTCCGGTATACCGCACCGTACCCAGGGTACGTTCCGGCAGTACCCTGGGGGACATAGACCCTATGAGCCCTGCTATCAGTGTAAACAAACTATTAATACAGATAAAAAAACCTGTTAGGCCATAATAAAAATATTGTTTGTTTGCCCTCACTCGACCGACCCGTCAAAAGGGGGCCGACTCAAATTTTTTTATTGATCTTTCCCATTCTTTTTTTTTTTTACAAATTGTATCACTGTACATTATATAAATCTGTAGGCAATACATTATATGTACCAAGCAAAACAAACATTCAACATAAAAGGTATCTCCACACAAGCACACCCCAGCATGTAGACACCATGCTGAATTTGTAAAAAGACTCCCCTAAAAAAAGCCTACCTACCTACCCAAACGTTTCAGCCTGGGTTGGGTGAGGACAGACAAAGATTTGTTTAATTCTGGCCTTGCGCAGGCTCATATTATGTTGTGCAGTTATTTCATCAGTGTACAATGTACAAGGAGGGACGCTAGTAGTACTGAAGGATATAGGTTCTTTCTTTGCCCTATTTTAACCACTATTTGTGTCCTTGGGTGCTATCAAATGCTCTGCAGTCACGCGTGCCAACCTGTTTTTTCACACTCGGCTGGGTGTTTTAATAGTTCTGGTAGGACAAACTGGGAATCGTGCAACCAATGGTTTATAGCTGTAGCTGTATGCCACACGTCGCTGTGTTCATATGAAGAGAGCTGAGAGCATGCTAATATACAGCTATACCTATGCAACCTTAGTAAAGGGCTAAATGGGGAGAGTGAGGAAGCTAGGATATTTCCTGTTTACATCTGTTTAAGCTCGTTTTCTTCCATCAATATCATGTAATATTATGTGATCATATTTTATTCTTGTAATTATTCCGTACATGTGTGTGTTTTTAATGATTAAGGCCAGTTTTTAATATTGTTTATATTATCAGATTATGATTTCCTCCAACTTTTTGTCTAAATTATCCTTTACATTTCATAACATGAGGGATTTAATATTAAAGGAGTTTAGCTAAACAGTTTTCTAGTGATGAATCTTGTGTTAAACTCTAAAAAAACATCTAACTTTAAAGTTTCAAAGTTAAATGTGCAGCGAATGAAACATAAGTTAATTGAACTATTTTATACTCAGTTGTGCTAATGATGTTGACGTTGTGAACTTGTGACTAGGTGAACAGTATGTCCAGTTTGTGCCACTTCCCATGATAGAGGCACAATACTTCCTATTGATTGAAATATCTGACAAGGATTATGATAGTTTGTATTATGTATTACATTATGTATGTTATAGATATGATAGATTTCAGGTGGAAACATAATGTAGCAACGGTGCGTCTATTTGCAGTCAACAATACTTGGCTGGTATTTTCCTACTGGCAGCTGATATGCGGTGGACTATAAGCGCGAACATGCCAAGTACGTTCTCTTGGTTTGACGACGCTAGGTGCCATGCTCTATGACCGTGCTTGCTGTGTCATGGGACTGCTGCATCCGTAACCATTAACACCCTTCTCTTCCTCAAGTTGATCACTTTGGTCGTTAACTAGGCCACCATTTTTTATTTTGTTGGTTTACAGAATTTTTGTTGTTGTTGTTGACTCGGTAGAGTAAAAAAAAGTCAAAATACAGTAATACCGTTATACATGATATTAAAGTATTTTAAGAAAACTAAATTAAAACAAAACTCAACTTATAATTATTTTTACTTTTATTATAAACTATTTGTTTACGAAATGTTTTTGTTTTTTACATTTAAATTTATTTTATATAAGGTCGGCGGGAATAAAAAAATACAGATTTTCAATTTTTTTTTTTCGTTTTTCTTAAAAATTCGGGTCGACGGATCTGTAAACCAACAAAATAAAAAATTCTCGCCCTATGCACACTCACTCACTGGTGGCAACTAACCATGGTTTTGGCTTCTGCTAGTTAATGCTTTATAATGCCTTACTTGTATGCAGCCCCAAATATGTGGCAGGAATTTGGATACTGGCTGCAGATTCCAGACAGAAGATAGCTCCAAATAGAGAAAGTAGGTGGTGGATTCTAGAAAACACTAACATATTTTAGAATAGTGCACACAAATGTGAAAATGATATTGCTAGAAGACTAATTCGCTGAGATATGACATTCTGGAAAAATATCAGCCCAGTTTTTCCAACAAATTCTAATAATGCATCTTTTTATAATGCAGGTTTGATAATCTACTTTTACTCACACACATTTGTAACGTGAAATACCATTATTGTTTATTGGTTCAGTGTTAGACATTACATGGTCTATAATGTGACTATAAATCCCTTTCAATTTTTTTTTTCCTATTTAAATTTCAAATTTTCAATCAAATATTGTTTTCATATGTGCTTTAATTATGTATAATATATATATATATATATATATGCTATAATTATCATCAAGCTTGCTTTGAGAAGTTATTTGAGAATCACTTTTCATTTCATAACTTCAATATGTAAAATTTTGTGCCCCTTAATCTATAATTCATGATGATAGTACAAACAGTTAATGTGGTAATCGTTAGTGAAATGTTTACACCTGACGTTCGGGTCTGTATTTGTGCTGCTGTACGTAATTGTCCTTCTACAAATATTTCAGAAGTGCACGTTGACATAGCGTGTCGACTTGGTGGGCCAATGCCGATACATGCCTTTGCATACAGAGTACATGCACACTCATTAGGTAACAATGAAATCCACATGATATCTCAGCATTGTTGCTTGTGTCCACCTGGCATCAGCATCAGAATTATTGCGAAATTCGACCGTTGTTTTAGTACCTATCGTACATGTACGGCTCATACCAGTATTTATTTAGCATTAGTCTGTGAAGCTTTGCAGCCATCTCTGCCAATCATTTTCACTGAATAAATTCGGAGTGGCCACGCAAACCAATGAAAATGAGATCAGCTTGTGACATCTGTTGGCCATGTGCCATCTGTATTCTACCGAGATGCGGTTGGTTTTTAAATTCGAGTGACTATTTGAATGCACACGAAGTTACAAACACTTTATGCAGATAACCCATTAAAAATCCTCATCCAATGCTTGATGTTTGTTGCTACAGGGCGTGTGGTCACGGGATACAAGGTGACCAACGGTGCATGGTCATTATTAGGCAAGGGTAACCCACAGTGGCCACAGGTGAGTCAACTAGTTTAATTATTGTGGTGGTTACTAGCTTTAAAAGTATTTAGGGAAATTACTATTTAAATTGAATTGATTATTTAATTTAATTTTTATTGTAAGGAAAGTAATCATTTAATTGCAATTATGATTTGTTACTATAGCTGTTATTATGATAAGCTATTGGAGAGGCTAGTTACTTTGTAATGAGCTGTTAGTCGCAGAATGTCAATGGAAAAGGAATGTCATCAGTAACTGTAAATGTAATTACTCTCTGTTGCAGTCTTTTTACCCAATGGATGAACCAATTACCATCAACCCAAATGATTTCATGGTGAGACATACATTAGGGTCATTTTCACATTTGCAAGAATGAATTGCTATTTAAAGCATAGTTGGAAAGTTTTTGTTTACTACTAAATTTGCCATGCATTGGATCAAAATGTGTACAATTGCAGTTGAATGCATGTGTCTGTAAGCATGATTGACACTGACTGTGATGTCTTTCTCAGGCTGCCAGATGCACGTTTGACTCTAGAGGCAGAAATCGCATCACGAATATCGGGTGAGTATATTTCATGGTTATGCGGCCACATGGGTAATGAGTAATGACAAGGCAACGATCCCCTTATTGACTATTTTGAAGTGTGGTTTTGTGTTGCGGTCATGCTCAAATCAGTGAAGTGCAAGGGAACCTGCATCGTGATCACGCATAAGATCTGCTGAGATTGACAGTGTTATGTCTGAGACATAGTGAAGCTCTGTGGCAATTTACCCATCCATCTGGCATGATTGACTGGCAACTCTATCAGTCATTGTTGGGATGCAGCATTTTAAAAGATGACGCTTGGCAGCAAAGTCACGCAAAGTTGACATTTTGGCATGCAAACGTGTAGACACGGTTGTAGCTTGACCGACCAAGCAACAGTACCCAGAAGCCTAATTAATCACGCCTGTAAGGAGTCACGCCTGCTTCTGGGTACTGTTGCTAGGTCGGTCAAGCTACAACCGTGTCTACACGTTTTCACGCCAAACTGTCGACTTTGCATGACATTGCGTCGTCTTTTAAAATGCTGCCTCCCAACAATGACTGATAGAGTTGCCAGTCAATCATGCCAGATGGATGGGTAAATTGCCACAGAGCTTCACTATGACTAAGACAGAGCCTAATTGTGACACAGCCTAAGTGTGACACTGCCTAATTGTGACACAGCCTAAGTGTGACACAGCCTAATTGTGACACAGCTTAATTGTGACACAGCCTAAGTGTGACACAGCCTAATTGTGACACAGCATAAGTGTGACACAGCCTAATTGTGACACAGCTTAATTGTGACACAGCCTAAGTGTGACACAGCTTAATTGTGACACAGCCTAATTGTGACACTGCCTATTTGTGACACAGCTTAATTGTGACACAGCCTAATTGTGACACAGCCTAAGTGTGACACAGCCTAATTGTGACGCAGCCTCCTCATGAGTTGTTTTCGTCTCGTTGCCGCGACGACGCAGGTCGACAGCGAACGACGAGATGTGCAACTTCTACGTGATGTTCTACACGGACGCGAAGCGCGGCGTCCCGTACGGCGAGTGCTCCTCCTACATGCCGCAGATCTCCGATCACCTGCCCGCCGCCTCCGACGTGCCTCTCCCTCCCAACCCGCTGCTCGAGGAGGCGACATCCGCGGAGCACCACGACGGCAGCCGTGAGGGCCACCTCTCCGACCTCGACCAGAACTTGCGGCAGGCGTACAACCGGCTGCAGCCGACTCTCTTCGATGACGTCGGTGAGAATTACTTTGAGCCGGAGTACAACGATGATTATGAGTACTATCAGGGTGGAGGCGGCGACCCTCGTTACCGTGACCGCGCCTCGCTGCTCAGCCGGCTGTTACCGTACGGTGACCGCGACTATAACAGCGACAGCTTGTGGAAGCTCGATGACCCGAGCGGCGGGCCGCGAAAATCGACTAACTGGCCCGCGGATGATGCTACTAACACCCTACATGCTGAGCATCCAGCAATGAACATTGCTGCTGTCAGCAAGCCCAAGTCTAACAGTTCGTCAGGTACTTTGGTCGTACTAATCTAGCTACTACCTCGCCCTAGTTCGGCACCTTGCACGTGCATCTTGGTGTGTTGTGCCTTTTCGTGGAGTAGTAGCTCCAGTAGAACGTTTGAGCTTTCATTCGTCTTTTCGTTAATACATTCGTCTTTCTATCTGTCCTTGTTTCTAGGAACATTTTTTATATTTGAAGTTCGTGTTCATCTAAGCATGCTCTATTGGTTCGCTTAGTTGAATCGGTCTACTTGGCCTGAGCGACTATTTATCTTTTCAACCCGCACGCACATGAACATAGCATGACCAATACTCAACAGCACTTGGTGCCATGCATTTATGACATCAGGAGTAAAAAAATCGTTTTCATTAAATGCTTATTATATGCTTGTACTCCATTCTTGTTGCTCCTACAAACAGGATTAACTAATTTCCTAGTTATTGAACTACTTACCAAGTTGTTTTACTGAATGAAGGAAAGCTGTTTGGCACTTTTGAATGATTCTTACACCAGACATACAGTATTAACACGTCCGTGATATTACTAATCAATGTTTGTCATCCACATAACATGTCAGACATTTATAGCATTACGTTACACTAGTAAGTTTTCAATTGCGCCTGCGGAATTTAATAAACCTAAATTTGTGTAGCCCGTTGGTGGTTGCCTAAAGTCAACGTTATTACAACCTAGATATCACCTTTTGTTGCTATAATTTCAGTTGTTGTTGTTGTTGTTTTTTGATAGGGAAAGTGCTGCCAGTAAGAATATTATTTGTAATTTCTTTAGTCATTGTTTTCCCAGATACTATTTCTGACATATAGACGTCTGTAATTAAGAATATGATAAAGTGTATTTTTATAAACTATGCAAAGAAGTTGGTGTGGCCTAAAAGTATGCATGCACACATGCACACATACATATATCATGTATATAATGATATAGTAAATAACATGCCAGTCAGAAGTTGTATCATGTTATAGTTTAGGTTAGTATCTCTCAAGTTAATGATTTACCACTACCAGTGATACGTTCGATACTAATGAGTTTGGTTAGACCGTATAGGCTTACAACTTCGGATTCTTTGAGGATTCTTTGTTTGGATTTCATTCCCTTTTTGCTATATATATGTAAAATGTGCAAATGCTGTAATAATTTAGAACAATTGTACAATATATATATGGCAATAAAAACAAACATTATTATTATTATTCACATCGAATCTCTATTTGCGGTATAGTTCCTCCACTGAAGTACGTCAGTGATTGGCCGGCAGTGGACCTGCACCTTGGTAACATTGGCGGTGTCGCTGTAGACAACAGGCAGCAGATGCACATATTCCACCGTGGCGATAGAGTGTGGAGTGGCATGTAAGTATAGTTCATGACCATGTTAAGCTTGGCCAGGTCTCTGCTCTTGAGTTTACATTGCATCGAAATAGGTTTGTTCGCTGTGCAGACCTGTGACATTAAATAGAATCTTACATGTAACAACTAACCCTTGTGACAAGATTTTGGCTACGATTTACAAGGGTTCACTCCATCGGTATGGATGCTAGGCAAGATGTTTCTGTCCGACTGTACCCATCGGTATTAAGTGGCTCGTACAGTGAAAATGAAATGAAAGCCAGTGTTACTAGCTTCCATTGTGTTATATATGATACGTATTATATTTATTTATTCATGATTGTATATGTCGTCTTAGGACGTTCGATCATCACCAGAGACTACGATCGCACCTACAGACACCAATCACCCAGAATACGATCCTCACCGTCGACAGCGGCAGCGGCAGAATAGAATCACAGTGGGGTGCTAATCAGTAAGTAACGCCATGGTTCCTACAGTAGAGATTGGTCGAGTCGCCCACCTGTAGTGCATTGAGATGGTGCTAAGGATGGTGGCATGTCATATAAATGAAGCCAAGTGAAAAGTTTCCGTGTGTGCTATTCACGGATGAGTGGAGAGAGGACCTTGTGATTGTGAAGACTAAGGATGCCCAAAGCATTGGCTAACAGACTTCTTTCAACTCCCGTTTACTTGTCTGGCTGGCTATTTCCTGGGCAACTGATGGCGTTCTATACAACAATAATATTCTAACAATATTCTATTCGTTCAGCTAACTATATGTAATGCAGCTTAACAGAGTTACTTGAGAAAGTTTAGTGTAGTGGGAGTTAGTGGGTTTAAATAAAGAAAGTAGTACAGGCCTATATTTACGCTTATGTCCATGTTGTGTGAGAGCCAATAAAAACTCAATGTATTTGTTTCACATGATCATACCATGTGGCCGTGGCATGATAATTGAATGCTCTTGCGTTTAGGTTCTACCTGCCGCACGGCGTGACTGTAGACCGCGACAATAACGTGTGGGTCACCGACGTTGGCGCGCATCAAGTGTACAAGTTCCCACCAGGTGGAGCTGCGAAACCGCTGCTGGTGCTGGGGAAGCGATTCGAGCCGGGCGATGATAATGAACACTTCTGCCAGCCAGCCGACATTGCCGTGCACAGCAACGGAGACTTTTATGTTGCTGATGGGTGCGTAGAAGTCAACCTATCTTCCTAGCATGTTTAATAGGCAACTCTAACCAACTGGTGTTGTTATAGGACATTCTAAAACAGTCCATAGCATTGAAGTACTGCAAAGTTGACAATTTGGTATGTTTGCATGACAAATACAAATTGGTCTTGAGCCGACTGAGATAGAAACAATTGCTAAGGGTGGTATGGTTATTTTGCTCAGGCAGATAGTTAAGATACAAGTCCAGACCTGCCAACCCTTACGATTTTTCCGTATTCCTTACTAATTCCAAGATGTTTTTACGAATGTACGATCAAACTGAAAAACTTAAGATATTTTACGACTTGATAATTTATGTGTTTTTTACATTGTGAGCCGAGAAATATCTGGCGATTGTGGGCGCAGCCATATTAGATCACGCGAGAACAACGTGAACGCGTGATCTAGAGTTAGTCCTATCATTTATTGCGCGCATAACATACAAACAAAATGGCCGCCTGCTGCAAGAAAAGAAAAGCCTTACTATTTTCATGAATCACAGGTTGGCAGGTCTGCAAGTCTCCCTTGTACTTGCAGCTTACCTGGTAGCTCTGCTTAGTATATACACTCATCAGCTAGACAGTTAAATGTGCTGAGTGCGTACATACACTATCTTCACATTGTGCGAGTCCGACACTGAAAATGCAGCTGTCACAATAATGATCAAGACAAGCCGATTATAATGATGATAGATGCATCGTTCATGTTTGATGATACTGAGGTTGTCATTTTTGTAGCTATTGCAACGCACGCATCATGAGGTTTAACCGGAATGGTGACTTCATCAGCAAATGGAATGTCGCCGATGATAAGGGTTAGTTCTGTTATGTTAGCAAATTGTAGCCGTCTGTCTGCCTTGATGGTTAATTGGTCTCACTACATTACAGACATGCTATCAGCGTGATTTCAAGAACTATGATTGCAGCAATCTTGGACTGCAGCAAAACGACACTACTTGATATATACTTTATACTGATTCTCTATGAGTCTGGATAGGATGTAATTATGCGTGTGTGTGTTTGTGTTGATGTTGGTAGGCATATCGCCAATTGTGCACAGCATAACGTTGGCAGAGGACAAAGGTCTAGTGTGCGTGTCCCTACGCATGGAAGCACGCATTTCCTGTTACAAGATGGACAGCACCTTCGTCAAGACACTACTGCATGACGAATTCCAGCCACAGCTGAATGCTATTGAATACAGCCCTGTACTCGGTGGGTATGCAACAGAGGTGTAACTACGTGGCAGTACCACAGTAACCATGATGCATTAAAGTGATTACGTCACCGTAATTAGTAAAAAAAATATAAAATATTTACACTTTTTCACAAAATATAAGTAATTCTGTTCACATTTTATGGTTAAATTATGCATTATACTTCCTATTTTACTATATTATTGTTCGATGTGAACATACACTCATGACCCATACATAGCCCATAGCAAGCAATTAATGTTGAGAACATTAATTCAAATCGTCCAGATTTTTTGGATTTTTAACTAGTTGAGAAACAATCTTATCAGGTAGGAATTTGACGATTTGTTTAGTCCCGTTAGTTCTTACTTTTAATGTAAAAAATGGCGATTTTTTTAAATAAAAATTTTACCATAGAAAATTCGTGACGTAGTCCCTTTAAAGCCTATGTCCATGTTGTGTGTGAGCGAATAGAAACTCAATGTATTTGTTTAACATTATGCATTCTTTACCATACTGTTTTCTTGTGTATCGTTACGACTGCGGTGTGCGGTGACCATATATAAGCATGGGTAGCAAACATTAAATGTGTTTTATGTCGTTAATAAGTGTAAGTAGTAAAAGAGTTATACTCACAGCTGATTGCGCAATCACGCCAATGTTGACTTCAACGTTTATATAACATAAATTTATAACATGGCAACGTAACGAAATGTTATATTAACATAAATAGTGTAAACAATATAGTCGAGCTGTGAACAAGGTTGATATCATGACACGTACCTGACTCATGGATGTCTCAATATTGTGATACGTAGTTTTATCATCATCCCGGGATAACATGTGGCGCTAGTCGTTGATGCTTCTATTCCAACCATTAGCATTGTATAAAGCAAGAAGCTGTGTAACTGATAATGCTTGCAGGTTGTGAGGCGAAGTGTCGATGTGGTGGTGATGTGGTTCTATTATGTCTTCGTTCCTGCTGCTAGGTGGAGTGTTATATGCTATCAATGCTGTCCCACAAGTGACGGCAGAGACTCCCGTCACACAGGGGTTGACACTGAATATCACAACAGGTGAAATCCTGGCCACCTGGAAACCCACAGCAAATGTGAGTGCAGTGACTTGCAACTAGTTAGTAACTTTTTATTAAGCATATATGATAATAACTCTTGCAACGAATTTCATATTTATTTACCTATATTACTAGTACATTGGGGTGTGATTTTTGTTGTATGTAAATTGATGTAAAATTGTCGTCTAGTTTTGCCATTTTCACAAGTGTTTAATTTAATGCACTAGTATTATATGACGTGATTTCACCCGAACACTTGTAGTTATAATTAATGAAATTTTAACATTTTCTTCATGCAGAACTTCACATTACCACATGATCTAGCAGTTTCACCAGATGGTGGCTCCGTCTTCGTCTCAGAGCTGAAAATTGGAATTGTTTGGAAGTTTCTTGCAGGTAAATTTTTGTTTTTGTTCCTTTCCCATGCATGCATAGCCATGTGTAAATTTCACCATAATGTTTTTTAATACATTGTTGTGCAATGTACTTCTTTGTACTTTGTGACACTACCTGGCATTGTTTGCCATTTATTATCGCAGAGTCAAAAGAGCACCAGTCGGTGAAGAAAGCAACCATAGGCAATGAAAACATCGTCAATTCAAAAAAGATTAAAGGTACAGCAGTGAATCTGAACCCACAGAAACACTCTGTGAAGGTAAGACTACACACCATAGACTGTCTTCTATACATGTGCCTACCACATCTGTAGAAACAACCATAAACAGTTGTTTTTAAATAATCCTAGCATGCGAGTTGTGCTGCGATGGTTTTGTGAAGGAGTGTGACGCTGCATGTAGCATATGATCAACTAAATGAATGTACAGTGAGATTCCTTTGTGTGGTTAATGTCTTTGCTGTTGTTTCTGGCATCTAGCTGGTGGCAAAGAACGTTGGCAGTGAAGAGGAAAGCTCTGAAGCAGGAGGTCAGGGAGACATGAGTGCTTCCATGATCATCATGGCACTGCTCGCTGTTCCAGTCCTCCTCATGATCATTATTACGATCATCATTCGTTTGAAGCGACAAGGTAGCTGCGTGCATAGTGAATCACCTTACACAGTTATATAATTGTACCCTCGACTAACTCTTTCCGACTCCTGCCCCTGCCTCTCTTAACTCTCTCACAGTCATTACATATTTCTTTGTTAAAACCCTGATCTAAAAATATATGCCACCTAATAATCACAACATACCGATTCACATTTTAAATGTTTCCCGCATTAATTCGTATATTTGTGTAATTTATATATTTCAGTGTTACATACTCCAAACCAGTATCAGAGTGCCAATTTTGCACAATGCTGCAGCTACATGTTTATATATGTCCTCTTCCAACGTATATGAGCACACATAGAGAGTAGAAGGGGAGAGAAAGAGATGAGGAGAGAGAGGAGAGAGAGGAGAGAGAGAGAGAGGAGAGGAGAGAGAGAGGAAGAGAGAGAGCGAGAGAGAGAGTGAGTAGAGATAGCAGGTGAGAGAGAGAGATGAGAGAGAGAGACACTGAGACGGAGTAGAGAGAGAGAGGAGAGACGGAGACGGAGACGGAGGAGCGAGAGAGACGGG